TAGAGCTATAAAATTTGGATTTCCAGTATAACAGGTATTGTACTTTCAGATTCAGCAAGATTTTTTGCGCTACGACAACTACGACCACACAATATGAAAATTTTCATATTGTTGTAAGTAGGCGTGGCATTGGACGAAAATTTCTTTCCATTAAGAAAGTATAATTCTTGTTCCACTTACTAATCGATTTTGTTCCCCTAGTATAGATATATATACACACAATCGTTTATATGCCACCAATTTTAAATATATTTTGAATTCGTTTAAAAATTATAAAAGTTTGAATAAAACAGTTTAAAATCCATATACAGAAACACATTTTATTTCAACTTTTTTGAACATAAATCTTTATATTTTGATAATTGTAGCACTCCGCATTTTAAAGGGAAGCTTATAACATGCCTCTGCTCCTTCTTCGGTGGTATTTAAGACTTTATTTAGCTTTTCACAATCATTCAGAATACAAAGTTTGGGATTAATAGATTTTCCTTGATTATCCACTCACATTTGTATTCAGCTCTCCATTCTTAATCATTCACTAAAAACTATTAACAAAAAAGTAAAAAAAAAAAGAAAATAAAAGTTATTTATTAATTGTAAGCTCAACTATTAAATTATTACTAATAATATAAGTGTACGTCTATTTGTGAATGCATAAAAACAACATAAAATTTTAAGTACTTTTGCAACTACAGTAGTTTTTCGATTTAACGAACCTATATGTTGTCAGGCCTGTTCGTTAAATCGAAGAGTTCGTTATATGCAGTACTAACTCGAAAGTGTCTTTTGAGTACATAAATAATTAAAATTACATAAAATCTAATTTATAAAAATATGTTCCAGGAAATATAATTTCTTTAGACAATATTTTATAAGAATTTTATGAAAAACTAGCAATTCATATCACAATGTAAAAATAATAAAGAAATTTGAAAAAACTCTGTTTATTTTGTATAACTAATCTACGTTCTGGAAAAGCACTCGGACGACATAATTCTTAAAGAATTTTAAACCCAATGGCTGGAACTGCGATGAATCTGAACCTGGCCTCAGAATTCCTTAGGAAATAGATTAATGTAAAGTTATTAAAGCGTTTCATTGTTTTCATTCTTTGAGATATCTGAACCCAAAGTTTTTTAAAATATTTTTTCCTTTATTTCACAGCTATTCCTGTAAATATCCTTTTTCCAAAAGAAAAACTATTTATATTGTTTATTCTATAACATGTCGTTTCTTACAATTTCTTAGAACTGATTTTTATTGGAAAAAATTATGGTCACTGTGGGGACTTGTTAGTTTGGCGAAAAATAAAAGCGAAATATTAAGGTATACGATTGGCAAAGTCTTTTTTTGAACACCAATTTCTATGGTTTTAAATTCTGAGGACAAATTCGGGTTGAGCACGAGCTTCTAGAAAAGTATACTTTGGCCTCTCTAAACATTTTTTGTTCCGATTTTCTAATTCGATCAACATTAGTTTTTGCGACATTAAGGATTGTAGATTTGATTATCTTATATTTTTGTATAAATCTTCAATAAAAAAATCTCAGATTATCTAGATTCTTCATTTTACTAAATTAGAAAAAATCAACTCTCGAAATCCATATTCGAAAGCAATGGAAAAGTAAATACCCCTCCTAATAACGTCGAAGCTTTTCTGACATGATTTTTAGTTATTTTTGTTAATTTAACTCTAATTTAAATTATTTTATTTATATTTGTTCGTTAAACTGAGTACCAAAAATTATTTTTTGTTCGTTATGTAAGGTACTCAATGTAAAAATATTGATAGTTCGCTAAATGCGATGTTCGTAGAAACGAATGTTCGTTAAATCGGAAAACTACTGTAATTAAAAATCAACGTAAAGTTACGAGTGTAATAAACAAAAATAATTTACAATTTGTTATTTGTATTGCAATAAAACAAAAGCAAAAACAAATTTGGAAAATAAACGTCATATTCAAATTAGACAAACTAAAAAACTGAAAGACAGACAGACAGACACATACAAAAGTACTTGAAATTTATGTATTTTGTTTTTATGTACTTTAATTACAGTTTAAGTATGTTTTTACTAATTAAAAAGCACTTACAAATTACGCATACTACTCTACAACTACATTTTCATACAAAACATGAAAAACAACAAAAAAGGGAAAAGTAAAAAACAAAATAAATACTAAGTTTTAGGTATTAAAATTTACTACCAACATATGTTCATAATCTCATATACATACTTTTACACAAACTATACTAATTTATATAACAATCATACATACATATATAGAAATTGTACATTTACAAGTGTATAAGGATGGTCGCCATTTTTGAGGACTCCAAAAAAGTTGTTAATGTTCTACACTAAAATGAAAATTTCGTCAGTTCAAACATAACATTTCTAATAAGACATATTTGTAGCATTTGCTCAGCCATGGTTCTTTACACCAATTGGATATGTAGGACCATAAAGAAAAACTAGATGCGAACTAAGACTGAACTAGAAACTAACTGAATTATAACTAGAACTGAACTAGAAATGAACTAGAAATAAACTAGAACTGAACTAGAACTGAACTAGAACTGAACTAGAACTGAACTAGAACTGAACTAGAACTGAACTAGAACTGAACTAGAACTGAACTAGAACTGAACTAGAACTGAACTAGAACTGAACGAACTACTAGAACTGAACTAGAACTGAACTAGAACTGAACTAGAACTGAACTAGAACTGAACTAGAACTGAACTAGAACTGAACTAGAACTGAACTAGAACTGAACTAGAACTGAACTAGAACTGAACTAGAACAGAACTAGAACTGGACTAGAACTGAACTAGAACTGAACTAGAACTGAACTAGAACTGAACTAGAACTGAACTAGAACTGAACTAGAACTGAACTAGAACTGAACTAGAACTGAACTAGAACTGAACTAGAACTGAACTAGAACTGAACTAGAACTGAACTAGAACTGAACTAGAACTGAACTAGAACTGAACTAGAACTGAACTAGAACTGAACTAGAACTGAACTAGAACTGAACTAGAACTGAACTAGAACTGAACTAGAACTGAACTAGAACTGAACTAGAACTGAACTAGAACTGAACTAGAACTGAACTAGAACTGAACTAGTACTGAACTAGAAGTGAACTAGAACTGAACTAGAACTGAAGTAGAAGTGAACTAGAACTGAACTAGAACTGAACTAGAACTGAACTAGAACTGAACTAGAAGTGAACTAGAACTGAGCTAGAACTGAACTAGAACTGAACTAGAACTGAACTAGAACTGAACTAGAACTGTACTAGAACTGAACTAGAACTGAACTAGAACTGAACTAGAACTGAACCAGAACTGAACTAGAACTGAACTAGAACTGAACTAGAACTGAACTAGAACTGAACTAGAACTGAACTAGAACTGAACTAGAACTGAACTAGAACTGAACTAGAACTGAACTAGTACTGAACTAGAACTGAACTAGAACTGAACTAGAACTGAACTAGAACTGAACTAGAACTGAACTAGAACTGAACTAGAACTGAACTAGAACTGAACTAGAACTGAACTAGAACTGAACTAGAACTGAACTAGAACTGAACTAGAACTGAACTAGAACTGAACTAGAACTAGAACGAACTAGAACTGAACTAGAACTGAACTAGAACTGAACTAGAACTGAACTAGAACTGAACTAGAACTGAACTAGAACTGAACTAGAACTGAACTAGAACTGAACTAGAACTGAACTAGAACTGAACTAGAACTGAACTAGAACTGAACTAGAACTGAACTAGAACTGAACTAGAACTGAACCAGAACTGAACTAGAACTGAACTAGAACTGAACTAGAACTGAACTAGAACTGAACTAGAACTGAACTAGAACTGAACTAGAACTGAACTAGAACTGAACTAGAACTGAACTAGAACTGAACTAGAACTGAACTAGAACTGAACTAGAACTAAACTAGAACAGAACTAGAACAGAAGTGGAACAGAACTAGAACAGAACTAGAACAGAACTAGAACAGAACTAGAACAGAACTAGAACAGAACTAGAACAGAACTAGAACAGAACTAGAACAGAACTAGAACAGAACTAGAACAGAACTAGAACAGAACTAGAACTGAACTAGAACTGAACTAGAACTGAACTAGAACTGAACTAGAACTGAACTAGAACTGAACTAGAACAGAACTAGAACTGAACTGAACTAGAACTGAACTAGAGCTAGATCTGTACTATACCTGAACTAGAAATAAACGCAAGTTTAAAGAATTTCCATTTAAGTTACTAAAATCAAAATTTTTCCCTGAAAAGCCATCCTAATATTTGCATACATATGAAAACACTTGCATTTACATCAAATACATTCATTTACATACATTCAAAAAGAAAACACTAACACTACGCTTAAAAAAACATTTAAATGTGTGAATATATGAACATAAAATGAAAAACAAACAAAATTAACTAAAATTCAACTACTTTTTTCTTTCTCTCTCTCTTTTTCTCTCTTAAAAAAAATAAAACCAAAAAATGAAAAACAATAAAATGTAATATTTACATAATGAACCTGTTATAACTTTGTTTTTTGGCATCGTTTTTACTTATATGTGTCTCTGTTTGTAACATCGCTACCACTGTACACTGTACTACTACCATTTCTACTATAAAATAAATAATAACAAACACATACACACACCTATACACCACCACCACTTTGATAAACCAACAAATACACCTGCATCTCTTGAAAATTAAAATACACACACATAATGCTTTTTTTGTTGTAACATTAAATAAATTCAAATGCTTTGTGTTGTTGTGTATAAACAAAAATAACTGTTAAAATGTATTTGAATGTGTGCGGCCAAAAATTTTACTACAAATTACATAAAAACACAATATTTAATTCACATTTACTACAACTACTACTACCCTTTCAAAAACAACAATTACAACAACCACAATAAACTAAAAACAACAACAGCAACAAGAACAGGATCCCACAAATTTGTATATTGCTAATTTGCCAGCAAATTTCAAAGAGACCGATCTGGAAGGCATGTTATCCAAATATGGACAAGTTGTATCCACTAGAATTTTACGTGATGCTCAAATGAATTCAAAGGGTAATAATTAGATGATTTAATTATTTTAACTATTTTGCTAATTCAATACTAAATTAATAGGTGTTGGTTTTGCTCGTATGGAAAGTCGTGAGAAGTGTGAACATATTATTGCCATGTTCAATGGCACAACTATACCGGGTGCCAAAGATGCTTTATTAGTTAAATTTGCTGATGGCGGTCCAAAAAAGAAGAATCTCTTTAAGGCTCCCGATCAGGGTGCCAGAACGTGGCGTGATGTCTCGGCCGAGGGTATTCCCGTAACTTACGATCCCACGGCCATGCAACAGAATGGTGTTAGTGTTAATGTTGGCACTCCGATTGGTGTGCCATATTCACGTTTCGGTGCTCCTCAGGTGGGCGGTTATCCAATGGCTGGTTCACAATGGATTCCTGGTTATATGATGACACAACCGATCACTCAGGTAGATGATCAGGTGAGTTTATGTGTAGTAAAAATTTTGATAGTTTTATTTTAAAAGTGCGAACAACTGATTTAGTAAAATCAAGAGAATTAATATAGATGTAGAACATAATTAGAACAAAACTAGAACAGAACTAGAACTGAACTAGAACTGAACTAGAACTGAACTAGAGCAGAACTAGAACAGAACTAGAACAGAACTAAAACAGAACTAGAACAGAACTAGAACAGAACTAGAACAGAACTAGAACAGAACCAGAACAGAACTAGAACAGAACTACAACAGAACTAGAACAGAACAAGAACAGAACAAGAACAGAACAAGAACAGAACTAGAACAGAACTAGAACAGAACTAGAACAGAACTAGAACAGAACTAGAGCAGAACTAGAACAGAACTAGAACAGAACTAGAACAGAACTAGAACAGAACTAGAACAGAACTAGAACAGAACTAGAACAGAACCAGAACAGAACTAGAACAGAACTAGAACAGAACTACAACAGAACTAGAACAGAACAAGAACAGAACAAGAACAGAACTAGAACAGAACTAGAACAGAACTAGAACAGAAATAGAATAGAACTAGAACAGAACTAGAACAGAACTAGAACAGAACTAGAACAGAACTAGAACAGAATTAGAACAGAACTAGAACAGAACTAGAACAGAACTAGAACAGAACTAGAACAGAACTAGAACAGAACTAGAACAGAACTAGAACAGAACTAGAACAGAACTAGAACAGAACTAGAACAGAACTAGAACAGAACTAGAACAGAACTAGAACAGAACTAGAACAGAACTAGAACAGAACTAGAACAGAACTAGAACAGAACTAGAACAGAACTAGAACAGAACTAGAACAGAACTAGAACAGAACTAGAACAGAACTAGAACAGAACTAGAACAGAACTAGAACAGAACTAGACTAGCAGAACTAGAACAGAACTAGAACAGAACTAGAACAGAACTAGAACAGAACTAGAACAGAACTAGAACAGAACTAGAACAGAACTAGAACAGAACTAGAACAGAACTAGAACAGAACTAGAACAGAACTAGAACAGAACTAGAACAGAACTAGAACAGAACTAGAACAGAACTAGAACAGAACTAGAACAGAACTAGAACAGAACTAGAACAGAACTAGAACAGAACTAGAACAGAACTAGAACAGAACTAGAACAGAACTAGAACAGAACTAGAACAGAACTAGAACAGAACTAGAACAGAACTAGAACAGAACTAGAACAGAACTAGAACAGAACTAGAACAGAACTAGAACAGAACTAGAACAGAACTAGAACAGAACTAGAACAGAACTAGAACAGAACTAGAACAGAACTAGAACAGAACTAGAACAGAACTAGAACAGAACTAGAACAGAACTAGAACAGAACTAGAACAGAACTAGAACAGAACTAGAACAGAACTAGAACAGAACTAGAACAGAACTAGAGCAGAACTAGAACAGAACTAGAACTAGAACTAGAACAGAACTAGAACAGAACTAGAACAGAACTAGAACAGAACTAGAACAGAACTAGAACAGAACTAGAACAGAACTAGAACAGAACTAGAATAGAACTAGAACAGAACTAGAACAGAACTAGAACAGAACTAGAACAGAACTAGAACAGAACTAGAACAGAACTAGAACAGAACTAAACAGAACTAAAACAGAACTAAAACAGAACTAAAACAGAACTAGAACAGAACTAGAACAGAACTAGAACAAAACTATAACAGAACTAGAACAAAACTATAACTGAACTAGAACAACACTATAACTGAACTATGCTTTCTGCTGCTCAACCAGAATACAATCAATACAATAGAACAGAACTAGAACAGAACTAGAACAGAACTAGAACAGAACTAGAACAGAACTAGAACAGAACTAGAACAGAACTAGAACAAAACTAGAACAAAACTAGAACAAAACTAGAACAGAACTAGAACAGAACTAGAACAGAACTAGAACAGAACTAGAACAAAACTATAACTGAACTAGAACAATACTATAACTGAACTATACTTTCTGCTGCTCAACCAGAATACAATCAAATTAAAGAACGTATTAGTATTATTCCTGAGTATACTTGTTATGTTAATCATACGCAACCATGACCCAGTAAGAAAAATTTATGTATTTTAACTTTTAATGTTTCATTTCTTGGCTCTTTTAATTTGACTAATTTTTCGTATTCATAAATATTCCACGCGTTAACTTTTAATTTAAACAAATATTTATAAAAACAAAATTAACTAAATTATTCAAGAACATAAACTTGACCTTAACATCCATCAACGTGTATTGCAGAAAGTATAATTTTATTTAAATTAATTCTTTACCCTTTCTGCTTCAGTTATATTTGCACTTTAGTTAAAATATATTCATTTTTTTTCCTCTGGTTTCATAATATTTTATTTATGTTTTCTGTAATGTAAATATTTTTTCCAAAAAAATATATAAAAATATGTATTTATAGTATATGCAAATGGCTGCTGCACCACAGTTGAGTGTTGCTTCCTATAAACCAGATGCTGTCAATCAGGTGCAACCACGCGGTATATCAATGATGGTTAGCGGCGAAACAGGTGTACCATACGGTACAATGATGCCACAATTGGCAACATTGCAAATTGGCAATTCGGTAAGTAAAAATACTCTTCAATAACTTTCCAAAAACATTTTTATGTTTTATTATTTATTTATTTTTCTCACAAGTAACCTACAAACTACTACCACATCTCACCAGTAATAAATATAAACAAAAACTTTCGTTTATTTTCAAAAAAAAAAAAAATATGTTTTAAAGAACAAGAACAATATTTATGACAAATTTCAAAAAAAAATGCAAACAAACACTTGAAATTTCTTAAATGTAAAGCACTGTGTTTCATTTTATTATTGTATTTTTCAATTGAATATTCATTAAACAACTTTCATCATACATACATATAAATAAATATTTATGAAACGTAGTAGAACTTTTTTGGTATAAATTTTAACAATAATATTTTCTTTATTTCCTGTTCATATTTATTGTTAACTTTGGTTTGTTTTGTCTTTATGTTTTTAAATTTTCATTTGATTTTGATTTTTGTTTGTTTTTTTTTTAGAATTTCTCTCCATCATTACAGTATATTAGTCCAACTTATCCATATTATGCACCACCTACAATTATACCAACAATGCCAATGACAGATTCTGAGCAGGCTAGCACAGCTGCATCACCCGATGAGGCATATACGCAGTATCCACATCCAGCCGCTCCCAAATAGGTTTTCGCGAGGTGAGTGCGTGAGTGTGTCTATTCATAATTTGTTTTTTTTTTATTTCATGTTCACAAAATTTTTATTAGGGTTCTATTTTCAACATTTTTATTAAAATCTATTAGATTTACAAACGATTTTAGCTGGATATAAACTGAATTTAGTCAATTGGCTGATTTGTTGTTTTATTTTTTTTTTTTTTTTTTGTTCTATTTTTGGTGGGTACAAGTAGAAAATTAAAATAATTTTAAGGTTTTCTGCATGTATTTTTTATTTTAAGAAAAATATTTACAGTGGTACCAAAAGCTTGAATCACGCTAGATTTTTATAAAAATATTTTAAGGAGAAGTTGAACAGAACTAGAATAGAATAGAACATAACTAAGAACATAACTGGAACAGAACTAGAACAGAATTAGAACAGACTAGAACAGAACTAGAACACAACTAGAATATAACTAGATTATAACAGAACGAGATCTACAAGAGGACAAGCAGAACTAGAACTGAACTAGAACTGAACTAGAACTGAACTAGAACTGAAACTAGAACTGAACTAGAAACTGAACTAGAACTGAACTAGAACTGAACTAGAACTGAACTAGAACTGAACTAGAACTGAACTAGAACTGATCTAGAAACTGAACTAGAACTGAACTAGAACTGAACTAGAACTGAACTAGAAACTGAACTAGAACTGAACTAGAACTGAACTAGAACTGAACTAGAAACTGAACTAGAACTGAACTAGAACTGAACTAGAAAACTGAACTAGAACTGAACTAGAACTGAACTAGAACTGAACTAGAACTGAACTAGAACTGAACTAGAACTGAACTAGAACTGAACTAGAACTGAACTAGACTAGAAACTGAACGAGAACTGAACTAGAACTGAACTAGAACTGAACTAGAACTGAACTAGAACTGAACTAGAACTGAACTAGAACTGAACTAGAACTGAACTAGAACTGAACTAGAACTGAACTAGAACTGAACTAGAATGAACTAGAAACTGAACTAGAACTGAACTAGAACTGAACTAGAACTGAACTAGAACTGACTAGAACTGAACTAGAACTGAACTAGAACTGAACTAGAACTGAACTAGAACTGAACTAGAACTGAACTAGAACTGAACTAGAACTGAACTAGAACTGAACTAGAACTGAACTAGACTGAACTAGAACGAACTAGAACTGAAACTGAACTAGAACTGAACTAGAACTGAACTAGAACTGAACTAGAACTGAACTAGAACTGAACTAGAACTGAACTAGAACTGAACTAGAACTGAACTAAGGAACTGAACGACTGAACTAGAATTGAAATAGACTGAACTAGAACTAAACTAGAACTGAACTAGAACTGAACTAAAACTGAACTAGAACTGAACTAGAACTGAACTAGAACTGAACTAGAACTGAACTAGAACTGAACTGGAACTGAACTAGAACTGAACTAGAACTGAACTAGAACTGAACTAGAACTGAACTAGAACTGAACTAGAACTGAACTAGAACTGAACTAGAACTGAACTAGAACTGAACTAGAACTGAACTAGAACTGAACTAGAACTGAACTAGAACTGAACTAGAACTGAACTAGAACTGAACTAGAACTGAACTAGAACTGAACTAGAACTGAACTAGAACTGAACTAGAACTGAACTAGAACTGAACTAGAACTGAACTAGAACTGAACTAGAACTGAACTAGAACTGAACTAGAACTGAACTAGAACTGAACTAGAACTGAACTAGAACTGAACTAGAACTGAACTGAACTGAACTGAACTAGAACTGAACTGAACTGAACTAGAACTGAACTAGAACTGAACTAGAACTCAACTAGAACTGAAGTAGACCGAACAAGAATTGAACTAGAACTAACTAGAACTAAACTAGAACTAAACTAGAGCTGAACAAGAACTGAACTAGAACTGAACTAGAATGAACTAGAACTGAACTAGAAATGAACTAGAACTGAACTAGAACTGAACTAGAACTGAACTAGAACTAGAACTGAACTAGAACTGAACTAGAACTGAACTAGAATTGAACTAGAACTGAACTAGAACTGAACTAGAACTGAACTAAACTGAACTAGAACTGAACTAGAACTGAACTAGAACTGAACTAGAACTGAACTAGAACTGAACTAGAATGAACTAGAACTGAATAGACTGAACTTAGAACTGAACTAAGAACTGACTAGAACTGAACTAGAACTGAACTAGAACTGAACTCGAAACTGAACTAGAACTGAACTAGAACTGAACTAGAACTGAACTAGAACTGAACTAGAACTGAACTAGAACTGGAACTAGAACTGAACTAGAACTGAACTAGAACTGAACTAGAACTGAACTAGAACTGAACTAGAACTGAACTAGAACTGAACTAGAACTGAACTAGAACTGAACTAGAACTGAACTAGAACTGAACTAGAACTGAACTAGAACTGAACTAGAAACTGAACTAGAACTGAACTAGAACTGAACTAGAACTGAACTAGAACTGAACTAGAACTGAACTAGAACTGAACTAGAACTGAACTAGAACTGAACTAGAACTGAACTAGAACTGAACTAGAACTGAACTAGAACTGAACTAGAACTGAACTAGAACTGAACTAGAACTGAACTAGAACTGAACTAGAACTGAACTAGAACTGAACTAGAACTGAACTAGAACTGAACTAGAACTGAACTAGAACTGAACTAGAACTGAACTAGAACTGAACTAGAACTGAACTAGAACTGAACTAGAATGAACTAGAACTGAACTAGAACTGAACTAGAAACTGAACTAGAACTGAACTAGAACTGAACTAGAACTGAACTAGAACTGAACTAGAACTGAACTAGAACTGAACTAGAACTGAACTAGAACTGAACAGAACTGAACTAGAACTGAACTAGAACTGAACTAGAACTGAACTAGAACTGAACTAGAACTGAACTAGAACTGAACTAGAACTGAACTAGAACTGAACTAGAACTGAACTAGAACTGAACTAGAACTGAACTAGAACTGAACTAGAACTGAACTAGAACTGAACTAGAACTGAACTAGAACTGAACTAGAACTGAACTAGAACTGAACTAGAACTGAACTATAAGTGAACTATAACTGAACTATAACTCTGAACTAGAACTGAACTAGAACTGAACTAGAAACTGAACTAGAACTGAACTAGAACTGAACTAGAACTGAACTAGAACTGAACTAGAACTGAACTAGAACTGAACTAGAACTGAACTAGAACTGAACTAGAACTGAACTAGAACTGAACTAGAACTGAACTAGAACTGAACTAGAACTGAACTAGAACTGAACTAGAACTGAACTAGAACTGAACTAGAACTGAACTAGAACTGAACTAAACTGAACTAGAACTGAACTAGAACTGAACTAGAACTGAACTAGAACTGAACTAGAACTGAACTAGAACTGAACTAGAACTGAACTAGAACTGAACTAGAACTGAACTAGAACTGAACTAGAACTGAACTAGAACTAGAACTGAACTAGAACTGAACTAGAACTGAACTAGAACTGAACTAGAACTGAACTAGAACTGAACTAGAACTGAACTAGAACTGAACTAGAACTGAACTAGAACTGAACTAGAAACTGAACTAGAACTAGAACTGAACTAGAACTGAACTAGAACTGAACTAGAACTGAACTAGAAACTGAACTAGAACTGAACTAGAACTGAACTAGAACTGAACTAGAACTGAACTAGAACTGAACTAGAACTGAACTAGAACTGAACTAGAACTGAACTAGAACTAGAACTGAACTAGAACTGAACTAGAACTGAACTAGAACTGAACTAGAACTGAACTAGAACTGAACTAGAACTGAACTAGAACTGAAAGAACTGAACTAGAACTGAACTAGAACTGAACTAGAACTGAACTAGAACTGAACTAGAACTGAACTAGAACTGAACTAGAACTGAACTAGAACTGAACTAGAACTGAACTAGAACTGAACTAGAACTGAACTAGAACTGAACTAGAACTGAACTAGAACTGAACTAGAACTGAACTAGAACTGAACTAGAACTGAACTAGAACTGAACTAGAACTGAACTAGAACTGAACTAGAACTGAACTAGAACTGAACTAGAACTGAACTAGAACTGAACTAGAACTGAACTAAACTGAACTAGAACTGAACTAGAACTGAACTAGAACTGAACTAGAACTGAACTAGAACTGAACTAGAACTGAACTAGAACTGAACTAGAACTGAACTAGAACTGAACTAGAACTGAACTAGAACTGAACTAGAACTGAACTAGAACTGAACTAGAACTGAACTGAACTAGAACTGAACTAGAACTGAACTAGAACTGAACTAGAACTGAACTAGAACTGAACTAGAACTGAACTAGAACTGAACTAGAACTGAACTAGAACTGAACTAGAACTGAACTAGAACTGAACTAGAACTGAACTAGAACTGAACTAGAACTGAACTAGAACTGAACTAGAACTGAACTAGAATGAACTAGAACTGAACTAGAACTGAACTAGAACTGAACTAGAACTGAACTAGAACTGAACTAGAACTGAACTAGAACTGAACTAGAACTGAACTAGAACTGAACTAGAACTGAACTAGAACTGAACAGAACTGAACTAGAACTGAACTAGAACTGAACTAGAACTGAACTAGAACTGAACTAGAACTGAACTAGAACTGAACTAGAACTGAACTAGAACTGAACTAGAACTGAACTAGAACTGAACTAGAACTGAACTAGAACTGAACTAGAACTGAACTAGAACTGAACTAGAACTGAACTAGAACTGAACTAGAACTGAACTAGAACTGAACTAGAACTGAACTAGAACTGAACTAGAACTGAACTAACTGAACTATAACTGAACTAGAACTGAACTAGAACTGAACTATAACTGAACTGAAGAACTAGAACTGAACTAGAACTGAACTAGAACTGAACTAGAACTGAACTAGAACTGAACTAGAACTGAACTAGAACT